AGAGATAGCTCAACCGTTCTGAGCACTTGCTGTTCTTACAGAGGGCACAGGTTCAAAATGAAGAAGTGGCTCACAACCATGCGTAATTCCTCCAGCTATGAGAGGTCTGACTCTGACAGCTCTGGCCGCTTTTGGCACCTGCATTTACATTCATATACCAACATGAAGATACAAACACATAATAATGACTTTTAAATTTTTGCTTTGGGCTGTATACTATAGTTAGAGATAAATACAACACACTGTGGAGGCATTATTTTAAAAATAAAAGTACTACATAAGACATGTATATAACAATCAAAGTTTTAGGGTTTTATTCCTTTTTAAATATCAACAGTAAAATCTTTAAATCTTGCACTGCTAAGTTTTTGCAAGAAATTGCTGAAAGAAAAAAAGAAAAAGAATTCAAAACTAAAACTATAATTAGCATAACCAAAAAACTATGTCTATGAGACTGTGCAGAGTGGTAAGAACACCTGGCATTTTCCATTGCTCTGTACCACATTACCACAAACACGGGGGGGGGGGGGGAGGCATGCACAAACAAAACACCCACACACATAAAATTTATAAAAATAAAGACATGAATATGAGAAAATTGATACTCGAATTAGCCATTATTCAGAGACAAGAATTTAAACAGTTATTATACTTACCTAACTTGATTCTGGCTTGAGTATCTGAACAGAATACCGAAGGGGCTGGAGATGACTCAGTGATTAAAAGCACTTGTTGTTCTTGCAAAACTTGGGTTCTATTCCCAGCACTCATATGGTGGCTCACAAGCATCTGTAACTCAGTTTCAGGGGATCAGACAACTTCTTCTGGCCTCGTGAGTAATAGGCATGCATGTGCTACACAGACATACATGCATGCAAAACACACGTGTAAAATAAAAATCTTTTTTAAAACGTCTTTAAGTAACATGACTAACCAAATGTAATTGCTTTGGCAATTTTACAAATACAACATCTGCCCAGCACCTGAGATGTAGAAGCAAGAGGACTGTTAGTTCAAGGCCACCCGCAGCTACACAGCAAGTTTGAGTCTAACCTGGGTAACATGAGAATTTGCCTCAAAATAAACAAATAAAAACAAAGCATTCTAGGCTATAATCATAGCTCAAAGAGCAAGAATGCTTGTTCTGTAAGAATGAAGACCTGGGGACCGGAGTTCAAATTCCCAGCACTCACCAAAAGAGTTAGGCATGACTGTACATGCCATTAACCCCAGAGATAGTTATTCCAAGAGCTCTCTGGCCACCCAGCCTGGCTCAAAAGGAAAGCTTCCAGGTCAACGAGAGTCTCAAAGAAATACAGCAAAAAGCAATAGACAACACTCTGTGTCTTGCTCTGGCCTCTGCAACGCACACACAGAGTATACTGCACATTCATGTGAACACACACACACAATCATAAAAAATAAGAGCATCCAGAGCCTCTGGATGTGTCTGTCTTTATCATGATAAAGTCGTCCTACTTCTAATCCTACCAAATTAAGATGAGCCTGTAGCTTAGTGGTAGAGTATTTGCCTAGCAAATGCAAAGCCGGGTTTGATAATTGTTACTCATCATTGAAGAAAAAGGATTCTCTGAAAACATTCATGACCGTCTGATGAGAAAGGCCTCCAAAGGCTCTAATATTTGAATGCTTGGTCTGTGATTGGTAGAACTATTTGGGAATGATTAGGACAGTGGCTCTCAATCTTTCTAATGCTGTGACCCTTTAATACAGTTCCTCATGTTGTAGTGAACCATAAAATTATTTTCACTACTACTTCATAATCAAATTTGCTACTATTCTGAATCATAACTATCTGATATGCAGGATACCTGTGAAAGGGTTGTGACCCACAGGTTGAAACCACTGGATTAGGAGGTGTGGCTTTGTTGGACCAGGTGTGTCACTGCTGTGAGCTTTTAGGTTTCAAAAGCCCACACCATTCCCAGTTAGCTCTCTCTGCCTAATGCTTGTGGAGCAGATCCAGGTACTCAGCTACCACCGCAGCACCATGTCTATCTGCCTGCTCCCCATCATGATGGTCATGGGCTCTAAGCTTCTGGAACCAGGAGCCCAATTAAATGCTTTCTTTTATAAGCATGTCTTGGTCATGGTATTTTGTCATGGCAATAGAAAAATAACCAAGACAACATTTTCAAGCAAAATAAAACTGCACCATCAAAGAGAAATTGAGACACTATTCTATTCTGAGCTGCAAGAGGATCCCAAGGTGAAGAGCAACCTGGTTCTACATGGGAAGAAGGTCTCCACAAAGACAATTCCCCGCTAATATTACCTGTGATTTTCTTTGTACTCTTATTACAGCATTAGGAAACAAAACTTTCAGTCTTACACATCACACTCATTACTATACAGTTATCATGGTGGAAAAGCACATTTTAAAAATTTCATGTAGCCAGGTGATGATGGCGTATGTCTTTAATCCCAGCACTCATGAGGCAGAAGCAAGCAGACTTCTGAGTTCAAGGCCAGCCTGGCCTACAGTGAGTTCCAGAACAGCCAGGGCTATACAGAGAAGCCCTGTCTCAAAAAAAACAAAACAAAACAAAAACCTTCATGTATTTCCTCTGTGGCTCTCCAACACTAGACAGTGTTACAGCACTAAAGTGAAGGAAATTATTGATGCCCATTGTGTTATAGGTGATACATTTTTCCTAACATCTCTGTGTTTAAGTTCCTGAATTGATAATTTTGAAACCACATCCAATGTTCTTATGTCTTTTCAAAGCTGTTTTTGGTCAAGTCTGGTGGCACACATGTATAATTCCAGCACTTGGGGAAGCTGAGGCAGAATGACAAGTTCAAGGACATCCTGGGACACACACAGTGAGATCCTGTCTCAAAACAAACATCAAAAAGTGTTTTCATATATGAAACTCATCAGTTCAATAAAGTAAAAATACTTTGAAATTTCAGATTTTTCAGGTTTATTTCCTCTCAACTAATAGTTCTAACACTGTTGTAAAAGTTACAGCCTCTCCTCCTGCCCAGAGGAGAGGCTGTAACTTTTACAACAGTGTCTTTAATCCCAGCACTCGGGAGGCAGAGGCAGGCGGATCTCTGTGAGTTCGAGACCAGCCTGGTCTACAAGAGCTAGTTCCAGGACAGGCTCCAAAGCCACAGAGAAACCCTGTCTTGAAAAACCAAAAAAAAAAAAAAAAAAAAAAAGTTACAGCCTCTCAACGGCAAGAGTTCACACTGTTCAGTTTCATTTCTACAGAGTCTACATAAACAGACTGGAGAGCTGGCACGGCTATTAACAACCCTTCCTATTCCTCCAGAGGACCTGAGTTCAGGTCCCAGCTCCCAAACCAGGCAGCTCCAAGGGATCACACACACACTTTTCTGACCTCAGAGAGCATCCAAATATACATAGCAGCATATGTGTGCGCTCTCTCTCACACACACACACACACACACCTTAAAAATTTTTAAAAATTATTAAAAGAAGTCTATCTAAATGGGACAGGGCAATTGTAAGCATCCCAGCAGACTGCCTACCTTCAGCAATAGCCTGACTCAATTTTATGGCCCAATATTTATTCAGATGATATTAAGAGAAAGAAAATGAGAAATGCTTATATTAGAAAAGATTTGGTCAGGATTCCCATGTATCTTAATATTTTTTGATAATATGCTATATTCTAAGCAAGACTGGGTGAGCATGCAGTCATTTACCTCTGTAAAGATCAGAATATAGTCTATCCTCTTTGGTGTTGGAGCATGTTAAATTTTCAGTATAGGGAAATTTCATTAACTTTTGGGCACAATGTAAAAGTAAAAAGACTTAAAGTTCCTCTGTGTTTATACATTTAAAAATTTATTCATATCTTACAAACAGATACACTGTGACTACAATTTCACACTTCCAAAATTACACATGGAGCACTGTCACTTGGGAAAACTAGTTACACTGATCTATTTACAGTTTCACCAAAATAGCTCGTGTCATTTCAGTGTTTAGAATGGCATTACAGTTCACATGTGAAGGATTAAAACCTCTTTCCAAAGTTTTAAAAGTTTGATTAAACGTACACACTATGGCACTATGGTAAATCCCAGCACTCAGGAGGTGGGGGGGGGGGGGGTTCAGAGGTTCAAGGTCATCCATTACAAAACCAGTTCAAGAATCTGGGTTACTTGAGACTGTCTCAAAAAAAAAAAAATCACATTTATTGGACAAAACAATCTGAGGAGTCTCAAGTTCAGAGATTCAAAGAACAGGTATGTTAAGAAGGGAAACAAGCTTTTACCAAAAACTGCAAGAAAGAAAGTCGTGGCGGCCGGGGTGAAAATAGGATCATAAACTATTATTGTAATTAATGTGATGCTGGATGAAGGCAGTCCGGTCGGCCCCGCCTCAAACCGTGCAGAAAAGCAGGAGGTCACCTAAACCACGCGGACCAAGGGGCTCTAGCTCCACTTTGGGGCGACGGCGAGCAGACACCAGCTTTCCCGGGTGGGGGGGTTGGCAACGTAAGCGTCTGCATCGGAAAGAGGGGAGAACTCCCTTACTCCGCGGCTCTGGGGATTCAAGTCATCAGAGACCCCCGGGACCCCAACTGCGCCTCGCCGTGCCGCTCCCCCTCCCCAGACACACCGGCTCTGTGGCGTGTGGGGACCAGATGGCTCGATCGTGGCGGCTCCGCGTCTCGCTTTTTGAAGACTTGGGGTTCGTTATTTCTCTAGCTACACCGCGTACGCAGCGCTGGGGCGAAGGCGTGACGGCGGCCCCGGGGCCGCTGAGGAGCCCGAGCGGCCGCCCGGCTTTCCCGCCGGCACCAGGGTGAAGCGCGGACGGCCGGCTGCCCGCTCGGGACTTTCTGAGCTCCGTGGCGAGCCGCGAGCGGGCGGGCGGCGGTGCGGGCAGGGCAGGGCAGGGCCGGGCGATGCGGGCAGGGCCGGGCCGGGCGGAAGGCCCCGTCCCGAGCAGCCGCCGCCCGCCGCGGGCTGTGATGCGAGGCTGGCGCGCCACTTACCCGCCGCGAAGGGTTTACGTAGCGGGCTCGTCACTGATTACGACGGGAAGAGGTGGGGACGCAGAGCCCGACGGCCGCCGCCCAGGCAACCCGGCGACGGCGGCCCCACGTCGCACCCACGTCAGCTCTGATGCGGTCGTCGCGGCCTCTCCGCCGACGCGAACAGAAAGTAGCGCGAGCAGCCGACCGCACTGGGGCCTCGGGGCCTCCGGCCCCGCCCTCCTCTCCCCTCCCCCACGCCCACCGCCTCCGAAGCGGGCGGAGGAGGAAAAAAGTCGCAGGCTCGAACTCTGCCCCCTGCTGGCCGTCAGCGGGATTGCAGAGCTGACAACCCAACAATTAAATAGAAGGGGGAGGGACAGGCGGGGCGGGGCCTTGGTGGGTGGGGTTAACGCTTGGGGGCGGGGCTACTGAAGCGTTCCGGTGGAGCCGAATACTAAGAGGGGTCTAAGGGATGGGATAGGAAACCGGAAGCAACCTCCTCTGCGCTTGCGCCTTAAAGTGCTTTACGTTCCAACTCCTTCCGCGACGGCGTCAATGCTATCTAGGATGACTCCATTCCCCAGCCTCAGCTCCCAAGTGTGGGGGGCTCCGTCCCTGCCGGAGGTGCGTGCTCGTAACTATGTCCTCCCGGACACCCCGGCCTCAAGAGCGCCCCCCTTGGCGGTGTCCGTGGTTCTGGAGCACACCGCTAGGCCTGGGGCCTACTCGGACAGGGTCCTTATGTCTAACCCTGCTGTCTCCCGGGAGAACTTGTTCCCTTCAGTGTCTCAAAGAAAAAGCTACAGGTCTTAGGCAGACGTGTGGCAGAAGAAAGAAAGACGTCTTGTAAAAGGCAGGATTTTTTTTTAGAGCCTGTCATAATGCAGTTTAGGTTTCATTCAGATGGGAACCGTGAGATTTTGCATAATGCCTGTAAAGCAGTCACCTGTAATCAGTACCTTTCTAAACCCTCGTCTTACATTATGCCCTCCTGGAGGGTCTGCTTCTCTGAAGACAGGGCCTTTCTTAAAACTAAATCACTATAAGATCCTAAAGAAACTGAACCAACACTCTTTCAAGAAAATCTCTAGAAAAGTAGCGGTGGGGCAGGAGAGACGGCTCAGTGGTTAAGAGCTTTCCCTGCTCTTCCAAAGGTCCTGAGTTCAATTCCCGGCAACCACATGTGTTCACAACCATCTGTAATGAGATTTAGTGCCCTCTTCTGGCCTTCAGGGATACATGCAGGCAGAACACTGAATACATAATAAATAAATCTTTAAAAAAAAAAAAGAAATAAATAAAAGTTGCTGTGAAGTATTGGGAGCTGTGAACACTTGTTTCAAAGATGATGACTGGTCTCTCTAGGAGTCTCTGTGTTTCAATCTCCAGCCCCTTGCCTGGTTCACAAAGGGTATGGTGGCGCATGGAGCGCAGACGGGCGTGGTGCACCGCAGTGAAGGAAATGCCTAGAAGATAGTGCAAGTGCAAAAGGGATATTTTGTGTGAGAAAAAGTACTGTAGAGCAGGGATGTAACTGGGAGTCACAGCACTTCTCTTGGTCGCCAAACTCAAGAATCAGCACTTGAGGCAGGGGCTGGCGGCTCTCTGAGGACAACCTGGTCTACAGAGCAAGTTCCAGAACAACCAGGACTGCACTGAGAAACACTTGTCTCGAAAAACCAAAAACAACAAAACAAAAAAACCTACAACAAAAACCAAATCGTTGTTTGATATCTAAGGCTTGCGTTAGAGGAGACACAGTAATAAAAGACTGCTATTTACCAAATTGTGGGCAACCCGAATTATTCTAGTTGTAATGCATACAAAAAAGTCAGAATAAAACCTGATCAGTTGCAGGGTACCATGGTTCATGCTTTTAAACCCAGCACACAGAGGCAGAGGCAGGAAGATTCCTATGAGTTCAAGGCCAGTGTAGGCCTCAAACTGGCTAGCTCCAATTGAAAGCTAGGGCTTCACAAAGAAACTCTGGCTCAAAAAAAAAACGATAAGTAAATATAAAAATATTGCATTTATTTATTTTGTGACATGTATGTATATGTATGTGGAGTCAGCTCTCTTCCTTCCACCATGTGGGCTCAGGCTTGGAGGCAGGTGCCTTTACCCACTGAACCTTCTCACCAGCCACAGGTGGTGACTTATGAATATATTATATTTTTATTTATACATATTATTTATTGTATCTATATATATTGAACAAAAATTTCTATAGAGAAGCTGTGTTTGGCTGTGAAGAAAAAATCGTGGAAGGAGTCTTTATCTGCAGAGATTGGTGGACTGATTAGGATTTTGATTCTGTAGAGACATTAGAATTTTGTAGGTTATAAAGCTAATTATGTCAGGTGGTGGTGCATGCCTTTAATTCTAGCACTCAGGAGGCAAAGGCAGGCAGATCTCTGTGAGTTCGAGCCCAGCGTGGTCTACAAGAGCTAGTTCCAGGACAGGCTCCAAAGCTACAGAGAAACCCACTCTTGAAAAACAAACAAACAACAACAACAAAAAAAGTTGCAGATCAGTTTAAAAAGCTGTAATATAATTACTCTGTAGCACTATAGCCCTGAGCCACTTGTCAGCTCATTCGCTTTACATTTTCCAGCCCTTACAGCCTTTATTTTCACACTAATTGGGTGTGTCTCCTTGTTAGAATTGTATTACCTTTAAGGCAGCTAAATAGTACTTCGCTAATGGCTGCTCTTATGTCAAGGTAGATGTGGTGGCTCTCTTCTACAACCCCAGCCAGGAGGAGCTAAGGCAGGGAATTATAGCTCACAGACTGCCTGCAGCCAAAACTAAAACCAAACACTAAAGTTGTTTGCAGGGATTAAGCTATTTTTTTTAAAGCAGTTCCATGGTTGGAGATAAAAGCTTGGGTCTTACACTAGCTAGCTGTTTACTCAACCCCTAAGCTACATCACCAAGCCTTCATTTAAAATCAAGGATAGAATGAAGGTTGACATTCGGATCTCTTTCTGTGTGTTTTTACTTGACAACAAATTCAACTGCCCGATGATTTTGAGTTTCCCACACAAAGAAGATTAACTGTAGCAGGCTTTCGTTTGGGACATCAACCAGCCCCCAAATCATGACATGGGGACTAATTATTAGTTATGAATGCTTGGCCTTATCTTATGCTTGTCCCACAAGCTCTTATAACTTAAATTAACCTGTTTCTCTTCACAGATGTTTTGCCTCAGGGGCTTTTTACCTTTGATTCTGTATGTCCTACTTTCCTGCTTCTCTTCGCTGGCGGCTCCTGCTGACCCGAGGTATCTTCTTCTCTCTCATTTTCTCAAGCCTAGCTTCCTCCTCCAGCTCATTCTCTCTTCCCACCAGCCCCACCTATCCTTCTACTGCCTAGCTATTGGTCATTCAGTTTTTTATTAGACCATTAGTTGCCTTAGGCAGGAAAAGTAAAACAAATGCAACACATCTTTACATAATTAAACAAATGTAACATAAACAAATGTAGCATAAACAAAGTAACACACATTTACATAATCAAAGTAACATTCTAGAGGCTAGAGAAATGGCTCCTTGGTTAAGAGCACTGGCCGCTCTTCCAGAGGTCCTGTAGTTCAATGCCCAGCAACCACATGGTGGCTCACAGCCATCTGTAATGAGATCTGGTGCCCTCTTCTGACATGCAGGTATACATGGAGGCAGAATGTTGTATATATAATAAATAAATAAATAAATAAATAAATCTAAAAAGTAACATTCTACAACAGTGAACTCAGACTGGCTTCTGCTGGGAGGTGCAGCCCTAGGTAGGATTAGAATAGAAATTTGATTTTGTTCTATGAAAAAAAAAAATGTTGGAATGATGTCAGTTGAATCAGTATTTCTTTTTAATTTGTTTATTTGGTTGGTTCAGGGTTTTGTTTGTTTCGTTTTTTTGGTTTTTTTCTGACAATCCCATTCCTATTCCCCTCTACTCCCCAGTCCACTGGGAAAATCTGTTATGTTTCTCCTTCCTAGGCAGATCCCTGTGTTACCCCTTGAGCCCTCCTTGTTACTTAGCGGCTAAACCTATTTTAAGACAAAATAACTGAACTGATAAAAAGAGAACCACTGAAGATGAAACTGAGCCCTACTTCCTCCAAGAAGGAGAACATAGGTATCCCTATTAAAAGGTCATATAGCTAGGTGTAGTGTGCACACCTTTAATCCTAGAATTTGGGAGTCAGAGGCAGGGAGCCTGATCACATAGTGAGTTCCAGTACAGTAGAGTGTGACAGGACATAGAGAGACCCTGTCACAACAACAAAGAACACCATGTGATGGACATTAAATGGTTCTTTGCACAGACACTGTGTATTGACAGTGAAAGTGGGAGCCAGAAAACCTCCACCATTGTTAGAGAAGAAACTGGGGCCAGCAAGATGGCAAAGGAACCTGTTAGGAATTTTCCTAATGCGAGCTCTCTGCCGACGTAAAAATCCCAATCAAGCCAAATCACAACAAGCCAAATTAAAATATATTCAGGTTTAATGGAATTCCTGTGCTCTCGGTGCACTCTGAGGGGGGGGGGGGGGAGACCACCAGGGAACTTTCCTGGAAAGCAGTTTAAATAGACTGGGGGAGTGGTCAAGATTTTAGCTGGCTGTCTTGACCCTCCTCTGGAGAGAGGTCAAGGCTTGGCGGGTTGGGGGGGGGCTACCAATACTATCCTACATGTTTCTGCATTTTATTATTTTTGTTTCATCTTTGTATTCTTTACTATATTTCTAAATTCCCATGCCTCCACTCTGGAAGAAAGGTAATTTTGTTGAGGCTGCCCCACACACACAGTGAAGGCACTTGCTCCAAACCTGGTGACCTGGGTTTGATCTCTGTGATCCATATGGTAGAAGGAGAGAACCAGCTCCCACCAGTTGTCCTCTGACACATGCATCTTGGCTTATGAGCACACATATGTGTACACATACATACCCAGTAAATAAATGTAAACATGTTTAATTTGTAGTTGGCATATGAAATACTCTTCATATGACATTTTACACTCACATATCTTATGATTTATTCACATTGACCATTCCCACGACCTCCTTCACTCATCCTTGCCCATCTTGCTGGCCTCTGCCTTTCATTCTTCTTCCTATCTTACACATGTGTCTTTCTCTCTTTCACACACACACACAGGTTGCACATATGAGAGAAAACATGGAAGTGTCTCTTTCTTCCCCTCTACCCCTTTCTCTTGCTCCGTCTCTTGTTTGCATTAAACTCACCACCACCCCCACATAGTCCAGCTTTGACTTTCCTGTCTTTGATGTCCGTCCT